TGGCTGGGATGCTCGGGGGATGTATCTGAGGATGCTCGGGGGAGGTTATTGCATGGGATGCCCTGGGGAGCTGAAGGGGATGCTCCGGGGTTTATTGCATGGGATGCTCAGGGGGGCTGCCTGGGATGCTCGGGGAGGTTGCATGGGGGCTGCAGGGATGCTGGGAAGGGGGGATCTTGCATGGGATGCTCTTGAGAGGTTGCATGGGGGTGCAGGGATGCTTGGCGGGGGTTCTTGCAGGGGAAGCCCTGGGGGGGAGCAGGGGATTCTCTGAGAGGGCTGCAGGGGATGTCCCAGGAGGCTACAGGGAATGTCCCAGGGGCCTTCGGGAGAGGCCCTTGGGGGTACTGGGGATGCTGTGGGGGCAGGGCACGAGGGGGTCTTAGGGCTGCCCCTGGCTCACAAGGCTGCAGCAGAGCCAGTGGTGCTGGGTGGAGATGACAGCGAGGCCCAGGGGTCCTGGGGACCCCAACCCAGGACCTGTAGTTCCCCCTGCTCGGCACCTCTCTGTGCATCACCTTCTCCCCCACCTCCGTTTTCCTGGGTGGGGGGACAAGCAAACAAGTGTTCGGGAGAGTGAGTGCACACGTGTGTGCAGCTGTGTGCATGGCATGCATCTGTGGACCTGCACTTTGCTGGCGTGTGAGATGGATGCCTGCAGCCTCCCAAGGGTTAATCCCTGGGGCCTGGAGGGACCACGCTCCTCTCTCCGTGGGGCTCCTCCATGCCCGGGAGCAGGGGGCAGAGGGATTCCCTGAGATGCCCCATGCAGACACCCCCAGCAAGGGCACAGCATAGCGCTGTGTCCTGCTGTCTGTCCTGCCCTGTCCATGGTATTTCGGGCTCTTTGGCTCTTGTCCTGTGCTTAAGGCTTTGCTAAGGCCTGGAAGAGGCAGCATCGCTCAGGAAGGAAAGATTTCTGCAGAAGTGTCCACATCCTGAGCCTGGTGCCAGGACACCTGGGTCTCTCCCTGTGGGGCGTCCGCAGGGCAGCTCCTCCAGGCCCTCCACCGTGCTTGGGGTCAGGGCGTCTCTGGGGCGCGCAACTCGGTGGCCTCAGCTGCGACTAGCACACGGTTGTGCAAATCCAGGGCTGGGTCCGGCATCATGTCCAGCCCCACGGCTGCATGTGCTGCCCCCCCCCAGCCCCAGTGGGTCCTTGCAGCCAGAGGGGCCACCACGGGTTCAGCCCGTGTCTCCTCGCATCAATGCAGCCCGTTGCAACAAGGTGCATTTCCCCCCTGGGAGGGAGACTAGGTCGATCAGGCTGGATCCAGCTCTAGATGAGGGCAGCGAGTCTCTGCTCCGAGCACCTGCTCCGCGGGGCAGGGGCATCTCGGCTGCCGGCCTCGTGGCCCCACGGCCAGGCCGGGATCGCTGGTATGGGGCTGGCGGTCCCCGGGGAACACTGGGGCCGAGCTGTGCCGGAGCCATGCAGCTCTGCGCCCACAGACAGGGCCCCGG